GTGAATGCTCGGATGATCGCGGCCTCCATGAAAAAGAGGGGGAAGGGGATTGGGTGCGGCTTACCCGTCGACGTCCACGTTGCTGTTCTTCGTGGAGTCGCTCTGATTAGGTAGCCAAAGGAGGGATGCGTCCGTCTGGCTGTTGAACTGCAACCAACGCGCCAGACGACTACTTGTGTCGCGATACAGACAGAAGCACTGTGGAGCCGAGACCTGGGAAGGGAAAGAGAGGAGTAGACACAGGAGACGGGTTGGCATACGACTTGGAGGGGACATGCCAAACTAAATATGAGTACAAACTGGTGGATCGGGGCGTGCGTGGCACACGCAAACGATAGTCTACTGGCACGTCATCCAATACACCCCCCGCTATCCCTAATCACGAAATAAGCGTATGGCCGTCTAGACATTGACATTCTGATCTCAACTCCCCCCCACCCCCTTCCTCCCCACTGTGACAACGAGAACACTTCATCTGTTCACCAACCACCATAGTTTATTCATACCATATAAATGTAAAGGCATGACGAGAATTTATCGAAAACAAACGTATGTTCGCCAATTTTTCTTCTGAAAAAACAAAATCTAAAGCTAGCAATCCTAACCCACCGTAATCAAAATCTTTTCGAGATTATTGCCGCACTACAAGGTTCTTAAGTGGGCTTAAAGCACTGCTTTTGTTTATCTAGCACTGCGTAGAATTTTAGGAATTTGCGCTTATTGAATCAGAAAACGCCAAGGATGCTTTGTATAGCCGCTGAAAAGACTTAGATTCCCATAAATGCCTACTCAGGTTTGCTAAGTATGTGGGTTTAAATAACATGTATTTTTTGTATGTCTGTGGGAGCTGCTGATTTTTCACTAGATTATTGTGTGCTGTATGGCTGCGTTCGTTGCAGCCATAGTTATTCCGATCGTCTAAATTTCGTGATGAAGGGATTTTTCGCAATTAATGTCTTTCAGCTACGGCTTTTGTGGTTCACAATCCAAGACGGGTGCAGCAATCGAAGTCGACATTTTGCATCTGTATTTGGGATTAGGGCTGCGGTTGGGGTTAGATTTACTTTTGAGCAAGAGTTCAGGTTGGTATTAGTCACCTAGTTAGGGCTAGGACTATGGTGAGTTTTTAAGTTTAGGGTTAACCTTATGGTTGGGGTTCTGCTTATGTTTAGGGTTAAGATTTTCCTTGGGGCTAGGCACTTCCAGTTAGTCTTCTATCGAGACGGCTTCCTTCAAGACACGTTGTGACATAGCTAATATAATCTACCCGCCTACCAAGCAAACGTACGCAGACATAAATGGGCCATCATAAAAATCATACTTGCATAGGAAACAATAGGGCATGCTTTTCATCCGCACGGCGCAAGTCTGATTTATGAATTGTGGCGTCGGACTCAAACGAAATAGTACGAGACGCCATGTATCAGGCAGATTGAGATGCCCGCTTGATTTTGTGCAAATCTCTGAACACCTTAGAGTATGTTGAGGAAACAAGCGAAAATACGAGTTTGAGGCAGCAGTTTAAAAGAAGGATATGCTATCAAAATTGGCCGAACATGCAATACCTGTGCGGAGTAATGACACCAAATATCAAGCTCGTTCAGTTGGATCCGGCCAGACCTTTAATCGTGACAACTGTATGAGCAGCAGCCTGCTTGAGCCGGCCGCAGTCAAATCATCTCTCCTGCCACGCTCCATATTCAATGCTAAAACTCGACTCGGGTGGACTAATTATTTACGGGAGGACCACGCGGACGAACACCGATCCAAATGACAGTATCAGCGAACCAAATGGCCGAGTTATTATCACGCCAATAACCAACATCGGTGATGCAGCAATTAAAGAATCGGCTGCGACGGTCAAGTCAGTTAGCACAAACCGGGTACGAGCATCCACGATAGATGCGAAAGCTACGAATTATGATAGGTAGGTGATAGCACAGAAACTGTATTCTACGAAAAACAGCAATCCTTGGGCATCCACCGCCCTTATTGGGGACGGGATGAATTCGGAACGTCGGACGAAAAAAACATTTTGTTTCAGCGAATGAATCGCCACCCTCTCAACCGTCACCCAACTTCCCACTCACAGTTATGCGGTCAGAAGTCGTTTGGGGCAAAGAAGAGAGAAACATAAATCTGAGCATAGATGTATCAGAAGGGCAGCACACCTGGTCCACTTTGGGTCGGCTGAGTTCAAGGTAACGTGAAAATGGTAGATTTTCGGCGGCGGAGAATGCCTGCTGGCCGTAATCCATGGCGCCATAGTCTGTAGCCTGGTGGAAAAGGCTGCTGCCCTGATAGACACC